CAAACTCCACTAACCCAGAAATAATACCTCAGGTTAAGAACTTTACCTCAGGATGAGAGCCGGTGGCCCGGTGGCAGCAGGAGGCCCCATTAGCTAAAGTGGTTAAGAACGGTTTCAGGTTAAGAACGGACCTCCGGAACAAATTAAATTCGTAACCAGAGGTACCACTGTATTGGGCTATTTCCCATAGTGCCAGTATATTTACTTCTTTATTACAAAAAGCCTTTGGTGTAGAAAGTTCTGTTTTTAATTTATTCTTGGTGTGTTTTTACTTAGTACCCAAAATGGATGACCAGAAGAAGTGGGATGGTTGGAAAGGACTCAGTCATGTCCACCGGAAAATAAGTGGGGTGGGTCAGCAAAGGGGATGACATCCTACCTTACTTCAGAAACTGTTCTACTTGCAAAATTTCAGGAATGATCCTCTTAACCGGGGATTCTGACAATTTGAGTTCCACTTGATACATTTGAACCTCTAAATCTGAATTGGAATTTGGTAGAGGCAGATTTCATAAAGTCCATTTGCTGCCTTTCGACAGTACCCTCCCCCAAAGTCTGCTACCTGAGATGAGCCATTAAACAGCACCTTAATGGTAGGATCGCTGCTCTTATCTCATTGAAAGATAATCTTACATTGAACACTTCACAGCCATTTCTACTCGGTGTTTGCTGCAGATTTGTGCTCAAGCATGGTAAAACCACATGTGCAGTTAGACTGTAAATCTCTCTTGCTTCGTGCAATCAATAGTCATCATTCTGAAAGCGTGTGTTTGATGCACCTGGTCCTTTAAAAAAAAAAACAAAACACCGCCGATTTGTCCTGAAGTTACTTAGCACTGATAATTCATTAGGAGTCACAAAAATTCAATCAGGGACTTGTAGATTTGCACTGGTGGGGAAAGCTCTCCTGGAAGCAGCTGTCATTTTGTGTTCCTGGAATCCTGCCTGTGTATACGGAGCCTTGTGTTCCAAGACAGCAATATCATTAAGGGCCAACACCTTTTGGCAGTGGCCCAGGGAAGTATCTGAGGTGGACAATATCAGGCTGCATTTGAGCAGGTGAATCACGGCAGCCTTCTTCTACCAGTCAGAACATAACGGGAATAAGTTCTGAGCATCACATAACACACCCAATGAGCATAGTGTGGCAACACAAGCACGGATATGGGTCAATCACCATGCCAGTGCTTCTGAACCTGTCAAGGCCGGCCCTACCCTTAGGCAGCTGCCTCAGGCAGCAGATACAGTGAAGTGCTGGAGCACAGATGTGTGTGTTCCATACTTCCTTAAGCTAGCCTCCTGCCCTTGGGTGCAGTGGAGAATCCTGCCCTGTCACCAGTCAGGGCAGTGTTGCTCACTTGGCTTCCCAAAACCATGTCACTACTGTTTACTGAGAATTGGGGGGGGGGGGAGCTGGCATTTTTGCCAGCCACCACTGCCCATCACTGGTGTTGAAGTAAAGTTCAACCGCCAATACATTTACCTTCTGGACTGATGGGGGTAGCTAAGCAAATCAGTCTCTTAAGCTTAAGCCAAGAAATAGTATTCTCTATGAAACTGAATATCAATATACGTATCAAGGCTTTGAGATTAGACCACTGAAGAAGCCCGGAAAACTACCTTGCGAGTGTGCTGCCTGCAAGCCCCAGTGAAAGGGTCCCATCGGGGGCGAACAGCGGCCTCTTGATTACTTGGACTGCCAAGGCAAAACAGGTGCAAAACGCCGGCACCCTGTCTACAACTTCATTAACATCCATCTACAACTTTACTAGCATCTCTCGGTATTGTGAACAACACTGAACTTACCTTTTGTTGGTATCTTCATGAATTTACCTAAAAAGATAAAGAAAACAAAAGACTGATAATTTTTAAAAAACAGGTATGACTTATGCCTTTGGCACCATTGGCTCCTCTTTGCAAATGGCGCCCACAGGAAAGAGTAGCCAGCTCCAGGACTTTTTACTTTTTGAATTAGTTACGTTGTTCTTCGCTGAGCACCAGAGTTCAAGCCAGGCCAGCAGAGGCCCCCTGAACACTGTCTGTTCCATCTGTACAGGATCAGTTTAGATCAGCCTTTCTCAAACGTGGGTACCCAGATGTTGATGGACTACAACATGGGTAGGCAAACTAAGGCCCGGGGGCCAGATCCAGCCCAATCACCTTCAAAATCCAGCCTGCGGACGGTCTGGGAATCAGCATGTTTTTTACATGAGTAGAATGTGTGCTTTTATTTAAAATGCATCTCTGGGTTATTTATGGGGCCTGCCTGGTGCTTTTACATGAGTAGAATGTGTGCTTTTATTTAAAATGCATCTCTGAGTTATTTGTGGGGCATAGAAATTTGTTCAGTTTTTCCCCAAAAAATATAGTCCGGCCCTCCACAAGGTCTGAGCGACAGTGGACCGACCCCTTCTGAAAAAGTTTGCTGACCCCTGGACTACAACTCCCATGATCCCGAACCACTGGTCCTTCTAGCTAGGAGTAATGGGAGTTGTAATCCAACAACATCTGAGGACCAGTAGTTGAGAAAGGCTACTTTAGATTATTGTGGGCCAAGGAGGTGGGCATCCTGCTTTAAGAAGTGCATCTGACCACCCTTGGCTGCTGACCACCTTGTCTTCTTGGATCTAGCCAAAGGTGATTGCTTGGGTGGGTCCAGGAAGTGGAGAATACTGAGAACGTCTTTAACCTGGCTTTTGACACTTGAGGTATATGCTATTAAGGAACCACTTTATTTTTATGGTTGTAAGATCTTTTGAATTATTTATTATACTGTGTTTTAATGTGCTGGGACCTACCCTGGGACCTTAGGATGAAGGATGGGTAAATCAATCATCATCATCATCATCTAACTTAATATTGCAAATAGAATATTACCAATGCATGGATAATTCTTATATTGGTCAGGTGGACCAATGCTTCCAGACAAGGTATTATTATGCCCATATGTGATGTGAACTGACAAGTGCAACATTTTAGCACCTTGGTCTACCATTTGCTTTTGTGTGTGACTGTGACTGGTAATGGCAGCTTCTACTGTAAGATCAAGGGCTCTATTTCAGCTTGTTCTATTTTGATTTTTGTCCAAGCAGGTGGATGTGCACAGAGGCTGATGCATCGTGACCGCTGCTGTGTTTACGTTCAGCGCGGAAGACGATAAGCATTCAGAAAGTGTACAGAGCTAGGGATGGGGAAGAAATCCAATTGAGTTCATATTTAAAGGCAAATCTACCTAATTCACACTTTCTGAGGCAATATGTGAACCAAAACACAGCCATCCTTCAAAATTCAGACTTCTCCAACTTTTACAGTGCAGTTCTCCACCCTAGCACAGGGAGTTGGACTTGATGGCTCTACAACTCTATGATTCTGAGTCATGTGTAGAAAAAAAAATACATATACTAGGGTAAACTCTGTCTAAAAGTGCATATATTGGTGATAATGTCAGGATGCTGTCAGCTCCTCCCAGCTGGTTGCCCAGAAAAGTATAAGGACAAGGAAAAGTTTCTTATCATCCTTTTTTATTTCATTCTTTACACAGACAGGCAATAGAACCCAGCCTCTTGGATAATGGCGTTGTCCCGAGTGAATCTCAACCCCACACCTGTCCCGCTTTCTCATTCATCATTCTCATCGTCTCCTCTATGGGTGCTGCTATGTGCCCTCTGTCTTTGAGCTCTTTGCTCTCCTACTTTTAAGGCTCTCCAGATTCTGGGAGATGTCGGGTCTGGAATGACAACGTGTCATCTGGGTGTTGTTCTGGCTGTCCCATGATTTCCCAGTTTTTCCCCTCATCTGCCTCTGAACTATGACCTCCTGCAAACCACAGTTGTAAATCTATACTGTCTTCATCTTCCTGCTCCCTGGAAGGCTCAGGATAGGGAGGCGGTCTCCACCATTCCTCCTCTGCCCAGTCCCTGACAAATAGCATACAAAAATGCATAATGTATAGGAAAATTTGCTGTGCAAAAATGTGTATTTTAGGGGCAATTGTGTTTACTGTTGTTAAAGCAAGCTGATGTGGAAATGTGAAGAACTGAAATTAAGGTTGGAGGAAACAGAAATTGACAGATTTGCTCATCATTAATAGGTGCCTGGCAGTTTACCATGATTTCTAATCTTTCGAAGGCCACAGGCTTCTTTACCAGATCTATTAATCGGATTAGGAAGGGTATAACAATCATAATGTTTGAGATATAGATGAGGATAAACCAAATTAACAAGGAAAGAACTAATCTTAAATGGAATGTAGAAAACACACCCTTGGTAGCTGAAATGTCGAGTATGGATATGGTACATAATCCCAACATCTGCTGAAATATCAAAATTTGACTGGTCCCAAGGGGACCCAGATTTGAGAGCAATTACAGGAAGTCTGGTCATTACATATAAATATCTATTTTAATGTATTACTGAACTACTCAGAAAAGATTTTTAGCATAAATATGAAAGTGCTTTATCAACAAAAGAAAACAAGGTATTATTGCCCTTCACTGTGAGCAGATTATCTGCTTGGGAAGTAGAGGAACCTAAGAAGGTTTCTTAATTCCATAACTATAGATGGGGAGGTCATTTGTAACACCTAAGTGTTTTAACAAGAACACATGATATTCCACTTCCTATTTCCCTTAAAAGCAATAATCTTGGCAGGTCGTTTCACATGTTTACTGCCTTTTGTTTCATTTTTTTAAAATTAAATCTATATCCCATCCTTGAACATGAAGGCTACCAGGGTAGTGCCTGGGATCTGTGTATAAAATATGTAATACAAAGACCATTAAGCAATGATATAAAGCAGGTATCCAAAACAAAAACAATGGTTTGTATCCAACTACGTTCCACCCAGAGCAGCCCTATTAAGGCCAATGAACCTAGGCAAGCTGTGCCCATCCATTTCAGCATCTGATGTGCAAAAGTGAGAGCAGGAAATGAAATGATTTTAACGATGCTAAATCATTACACATTTCAGTAGCCCTAACCACTTTCTGTTTTCTTTGCAGATTTTGGCAATCATTTCCATCATGTTCATCGTCCTCTCTACAATTGCCTTGTCACTCAACACTCTTCCTGAGCTCCAAGGCACAGATGAATATGGAAATCCCACCGATAACCACCAGTTAGCCCATGTCGAGGCTGTGTGCATTGCATGGTTTACAATGGAATACCTCTTACGGTTCCTCTCCTCTCCTAAGAAATGGAAGTTTTTCAAAGGGCCACTGAATGCTATTGACTTGTTAGCCATCTTGCCATACTACGTAACCATCTTCCTCACAGAGTCAAACAAAAGTGTACTTCAGTTCCAGAATGTGCGGAGGGTCGTTCAGATATTCCGTATCATGAGGATACTCCGAATTCTCAAGCTAGCTCGGCACTCCACCGGTTTGCAATCCCTGGGATTTACGCTGAGGAGAAGCTACAATGAGCTTGGCTTGCTCATTTTGTTTCTGGCCATGGGGATTATGATATTTTCGAGCTTAGTGTTCTTTGCAGAAAAAGATGAGGAGGATACAAAATTCAAGAGCATCCCAGCATCCTTCTGGTGGGCAACCATAACTATGACAACAGTTGGCTATGGAGACATCTACCCTAAAACACTCTTAGGTAAGATCGTCGGTGGCTTGTGTTGCATTGCTGGTGTCTTAGTCATTGCCCTCCCTATACCAATCATTGTAAATAACTTCTCTGAGTTCTACAAAGAGCAGAAGAGGCAGGAAAAAGCCATCAAGCGCAGAGAAGCTCTTGAAAGAGCAAAAAGAAATGGGAGCATTGTGTCCATGAATATGAAGGATGCTTTTGCCCGTAGTATAGAACTGATGGACATAGTCGTTGAAAAAAAGGGAGAAAATGCAGGCAAAAAGGATAAAATTCAGGACAATCACTTATCCCCAAGCAAGTGGAAATGGGCCAAGAGATCTCTCTCCGAAACTAGCTCCAACAAATCTTTAGAGACAAAGGAACAAGGGTCACCAGAAAAGGCTCGCTCATCTTCCAGTCCTCAGCATCTGAATGTTCAACAGCTGGAAGACATGTACAGCAAAATGGCGAAAGCTCAGTCCCAGCCCAACCTCAACATGAAGGAGTCAGGTCAACCCAACAAGCAAAAGGAAGAATTAGAAATGGAAGCTATTCCTGGCCCTATGGTCCCTTTGCTGACCACTCGGGCAGATGGAATAATTGACATGAGGAGCATGTCAAGTATTGACAGTTATATAAGCTGTGCTACAGAATTTCCTGACTCCGGGAGATATTCCCATAGCCCACTAACTACGCTGCCTAACAAAGGTGGGATAAATCCACTTCAGGATCCATATAGGCCAGAGGGAAGCGGGTCCAGATTCATGGAGATAAAACCAAATCTAGAAAGCAGTCGTTGCTCTACGTTTTTCATAGAGAGCCCCAAAAGTACCATAAAAGTCACCAATCCTCTAAAATTAAGATCCCTGAAGGTTAACTTTATGGAAGAGGATGCCATAGGACCAACAGCATCAAATGTCCTGAGAATATACCCAGATCCCCTCAAGAGCAAAGGAGCAACAGGAGCAGCTACAGATAGTTCTGGCCACTCTGATCGGTCTTTAATGAGTCCAGAAACCTCTATCTATACTACTGCAAGTACTCGAACACCCACAAAATCCCCCGAGAAGCAGGCAGCAATAGTTTTCAACTTCCACGATGCTGGGATACATAAATATATCGACGCCGACACTGATGATGAAGGTCAGTTGCTGTATGACTCAAGCCCTCCCAAAGCCCCACCAGGAAACCCAGCTCCCAAATACAGCATTACACATGGTGGCTATTTAAGGCAAAGGGATAGTGTTTATAGAACAGAGAAGAACCACTTAGAGACTGCTGCTTTACCCTCCTCACCCAAGCTAATTGGGCAAAATTGCCTTTATTCCATGGAAAGTATCACTGGAAGAACCCGTGGTAACCAGGGAACTATCAAATTAGAGAACCACATTTCACCCGAGGTTCACATATTACCGGGTGGAGGAGGACATGGTAACACACATGATCAAAAGATCTGACATGTAACCCAGAACTTTTGGTGAAAGCTGAAAAGGAATGCCTTTACACTCAACACACGAAGAAGAGCTTCTGCATGGCATGAACTTTTGACTGAAACAAGCCACCTGTTTTTTAAAAGCAAGAGGATGCCCTCAAGGTGGGCTCAGGAATAAGTCCTTCTCTGGATCCACTACAAAGTTACTGCCCACAGCCATCAACTGAAACGAAGATTGTGCATCTTGGTCATAATTTGATCTCCTTTCAACTTCCTTCATTGAAGTTAGTGTGACCAAATATTCCATTCACTCCCCCCCCCCTTTTTGATGGATCTCTTATATGTGGCAGTATCAGCACCCGACACTGCAGTACCCCTTTAAAGGAGACCAAGGTGGCCAGAGTCAAATACTGGAAGAAATGGTTAGGTGTGGTAAGAATAATCAGTGATGCAACACTTTTTGCATGAGGGCAACTGTTTCAAACATCCCCAGGTATGCCTTCTTCTCTGAGGGATACGAGGTCGAAAGGTAACAGAACGGGCTGGTTAAATTGCGGATTCAGTGAATTGAGAAATAAACTGTTTAAATTCTCTGTGTGTGCTTAATACTTCAAGATTCATTGAGACCTGAAGTTTTCTTTATAAAAAAGTAACAGCAGGGTGAGTTGCACCACTTGTATCTAAATCCAAAACACCCCTTCAAAATTATAGCTAAGAATAGCACTTATTACTGCTCATAGTAACACCAAAACAGAGATCAGGAAAGCAGTTTTTAAAACTGAGATTAGAAAGGCACTTTTCAAACTGAAAAGACAATGGGAATGGGTGTGTGAAGGAAGCATTGTTCTGCTGTTATGGGTGAGAGGGTTTGGTTGGTATTCTTAGAAGGGAGCAACCAAGATGTAGCTGGCCCTTTTGTGTGTTGGGGGAAGGCTACTACCCAAAACCACAACCATAATGTAAACGAAAGGACAGTGCAACCCCTGGAGATTCTGACCAAAGCATTAACCTGGAAGTCCATACTGGCTTTATGATCATCTCCAGCAAAAAAGGGGCTAAAGTTAATAGTATGAAAAGGCATTAAATGTCGGCTCCCTGAATTATTTGCACATCCTTTCATGGCTTACACCTAATCTGTTATCCATGCCAGAAGAATCTTTCTGCCACATTCTGCACTTAAATAGCGCAGAATGAAAAGATATGCAAGTTTTAAAAACATAAATATGCAAAAATAGTAACAACAATCCTAAGAAATTAGCCGGATCCTCCTCTCATTTGGACTGGTTGTGAATCATAAGAGGCTCCCGCTGGGGTTTCACAGGTGTGGTGTAAATGAGAAGAGAATCAAGTTTCAAATATTTTGTTTTTAAACTGGCCGTTTTAAGGAAAACCATAAAAACCAGCTTGGATTTATAACGTAGGCTGGTATATTAAATCTTGTATCATATAGGTTTGCTGATATCAAAAGCACTTTATGTTGATTTTATTATTGCGTTTGACAAAGGTGGCGTAGAGAAGCAGAGAGAATGTATTTTTTTAAATAAAAAACAAACAACCTAGCACTTTAAAACAAGCACTATCTTGATTTGTGCCTCGTCACATCTGTGATTTGTTACCCACCTGGTAACGAACTGCGATAACTGTGATGATAACACTTAATGTTGTGTCCATTGTTGCTGTAGTATATGTGTCATTGAAAGTTTGACTTCTCTTTCAGGGTACACAGTGTAGTATAAGAGGTGGGCAGTAGGAGAAGAAACTTCAGGTTACTGCCTTCCCCCCCAGAAAACACATGTGAAATAGACATGAACTAAACTTCGGAGCAATTTGGTAAAAGTAGTATAGAGAAATGTCATGTTCTTATTTTCTTCCTACAATAATAATATGGATTTTGTTCACTTTTCTAGGAAGATACCAAAATATTGCATATGGGCTATATGCAATATTTTCACTGGCCATATTCAAGGACTGAGGTTTAAAAACCTGGGAACAGTGCAGTTTTTTGGCCAGTACATCAAATTAAGGTTGCTTCCAGCTGGGTGTTTATTATGGGATGGGTGCTCCTCATGCATGCAGATTTTTCGCAGCATCCACATTACATTGCTGGCATCAAAATGCCGGCCTGTATTCTCTCCTGCCCCCATATCATCTGGATTTAGCCTTCCCCGGGCGAAACCCAAAACGTTAAAAAAAAAAACCTGTTGTCAGTGACCTGTGTGCAGTATCTGAATGGCCCATTTACAATATTAAGCCTCCATTTAACCTTTTAGGTTACTCCACAGTAACCTTTTTAGACATGGGTATTTTATCAGTGAAGTGCATTGCACCTACAGTGGTGCATAAACCACCTGCATGCTACAGGCCTCAAGGCTCAATTTTTCTGAAATGAAAAGCTGTCAGTAATATACTGCGCTCCTGAAAAAGACTACCCCACTATCTGGATATACGTGTTTCGTTAAACAGTTACGTTTCCAATGTCATATAGTCGTTGGTTGGTCATGACTGTCATTCTTGTCCATTCAAGCTGTACTGTACTCTTGCCTCTAATGCACACAGCGTGGATGGACAAAAGCAATAAGCGCATTGGGGTTGTCATTATCGCTTTGTTAAGTTAGACCTCTGGCTGGCACAATATTATATGTAGGTATGGAGATGTTGCACACTGGCTGAATTATTCAGTAATCCAGTACTGTTGGGATTACTGAATAATTTCCCAATATTTCCAGAGAGGCCTTACGGTTATGCTATTGTCCTATTCACTCACATGCGCATAAGACAGATCAAGATATGGATAAGCTCAAATTGTGTACAGTTTAGGCCAGTAAAAGTCGGATAAGCTCCTTTCCGTGCAAGAAGTCACACAGTCAGCAGCCGAAAATGTACCTCTATATTCAAAAGTCTCAACAGAATAGCATATTTGAAAAGAACACCCCCTACCCCAAGTTAGAAGTCCGTCTTTGTTCATTCAAAACTTGCATTAAGGGTGAGCCTCGCAGTAATTCATACAATGTACTTAGAAGAGTTAAGTTGTAACAATCAAATAATTATTAGGAACTAATGATACAGCAAATGAGCTTTAAGCATATTATTGCAGTGATCCATTCTTAATTAAACTGACAATTAAGTGAGTTCCATTGAACTCGGGAAGCTTCCTTCATGTTTAGGGCTAGACTCTGGGAAAGATTATTTTAGGGATGAAAACCAATTGCTACAGAAAACTCCCATGTATTTTAAGTGAGGGGATGTTAAATAGTTTCAACACTGGGATTGACAGGGAGGCAAGACCTAGACTGCTTATGTGCTTAAGCAAAGGCAAGTGAATTAGGTCATTTGCAAGTCAAACCCCTAAATTGTTTGTGTTAAAAGTCTGTCATGTCCATTATCAGCACAAATGTTTTAAATAAAAACAAATTCAGGGAAAAATTACTTTTTGATATATAAAAAGTATACAATGGTGATTTCCACATTGCATATTTTAGAGCTGATTCTTTCATGTAAAAAGTTTTCAGAGGAATTGTATTTTTCATATCCGAAAGCAAATGCGTTTGACTATAGCCATATAGAGAAAAAGTATTTAACAAATCGCTATTGGAAATGAGACATTTGAGTTCCTAGATGACAGTCACAAGAATCGCAGCGTTTAAAAAACAAACCTGGAATATCAACTGGTGCAACTCTCCTTGTAACCAAAGGCCCTGTTATTGCCTTGCGTGGACATAGTGTGACACAAAACTATCATTCATCTAGCGCAAACTTCTCAAGTAGCATGTTACCAGGGTCACTTTTGACAGCTTTGTTCAAAAGTATCATAAAGTATCTATCCTTTGAGTGTGAACCGCCAAAGTCCTATAGATTTCTTATAGAAAGAGAATAATTAAAGATGGGCATACACTATGCTCAAAAACATTTCTTTCTTCTGTTTGTGAAAGTGTTATTCTAGCTCACATTTTTTGCCCCACAAAAAAACAAACCAACATGGATCTCTGGGGCAAACCGCACTGCTATGAATGGGTTCTACACAAAACCGTGGCAATGGTCCTGTATCTTCTGTTCATTTCAGTGCAGCTTGCGCTGGAGAACCTAGGATTGTGTCCTATGGTTAATTTAAATTAAATGATGCCTGACAATGAACTGTTTTGTACAAACTAAGTATAGATGTATGAGCACTGGGAAATCTACTCTGAACTTTTGAAAAGCATTTGGAATGAAAGCAAAAATCCAAAAGAATTGGGGAAGGGTCTGCACTCATCACAAAAGGGGAAAGTAGTGGGTTTTGTGGGTTTTTAGGGGGACCACAATGCAGAAATCCATAAAGTATTGAAATAACGCCTCTGTACAATTTGCTTGTTTGTTAGATGCATAGCTGGCCCCTTCACTAGCTGAACTTGCCAAGAGGAGGTAGAATGAGCAAACACTCTGGGTGGTAAACCAGTTGCTGTGGCCCTACAGTAAAACAAACAAGCAGGAGTCGCATTTGATGTGTCTCTTGAAGGGCTGTCCCAATTCAGACTGCTGAAGAGAGAATGAAATCTTTTAAATTTCACTCTGTGAAAACACAAACATTCAAAACACCGGCTGCCTGAAATAGGCAAGGCCAGCTTCAGGTTTGAAGGAGCCTGGGACAAAGCATGCTCAGGTGAGCTCCCTCCTCTGTCATTGGGCTCTGCTGGTCTTCCCTAGTGGCAGCAATCAGAGCAGCACCAGGTGGCTGTTGCCCAGCTGCCATTTTGATTTCCCACAATGCCTTCAACACAGCACACTGCACTGAGGCATGGTGGAAAATAAGCATGGTATCTAGACTAACTGCCGGGTCTTCGCTTAAAATGCTGGGCCAAAAAAATATTAAAGGAGGGTCAGGGCAAGCAACAGCCAGAGCTGGAGGCCCAGGAGCTGCCCAGGGGTGCTGGGTGCCCAGGAAATGGTACTGCCCAGCACACAAATATCAAGCAGAACTTGTTTTCTCGTTAAATCTTTTTTTCTAAAAGATACAGAGATGCATGAGAGAGAAAAAAGAGAATCCAGCAAACAATAATGAGCATACAAGATGAGAGAAAGTGGAGTGTAGGTACAGTATCTACTTTGTAAACAGACCATTTGCTGGGATGGTGAGAAAAAAAATTCCAGAGCAATAGCTCCTAAACTAACCATAGTTAAATGGTCCTCTTGACCCAATAAACTTTATTGGCAGAAAGTATTCACTCGGTGTTTGATCATCAGCACTTTCCTTTTTTTAAATCTTTGCCTATGTGCTATGCACCATGCAAATAAACAAACATATTACAGGGCAGAATTCGCTTAACAAGTCCCATGAGCAGACACTCTGCTCAAGGACTTCCATTTGTGCAACAGTGGTTTCCCCTCTCTCCTCCCCCCAAAATTGGCTCAGGTGGGTCAGCAGAACCCCCAGAACTGGTGCATAGAACTGTGTGCTGGGGGAGGAGAGGGAAATCATGCCATCTGACAAACCAAAATGGTTATGCAGATGGAATCATTAGACAAGTGTGACAGTGAATTCCTCCCGTCGTTTCTGCAGTTGGTGGGCCTTCCACCTTGTACCTGCCTCAATCTTTGTTTGCCTGACCCATGATGGACAGCAAATGGGTTGAAAAGAACAAGTGCAGACCTTGCACTTAGCTGAGGGGCAACAATTCTCTCAGCTGCTAGCTTGCTTCTTCTTCTTTCCTTTAGCAAAAAAAGAAAATAGCCGTGTTTATGATTATGGTAGATTTCTCAGTGCCTTTTTTCATAGAAACATCACCTAAGCACACTTCAGGAACATGAAGAGCATTGTCCTGTCCTACGGGTGGTCCACATTTTATGAAAGTCTTGAGAATCAATGATTGCAAAAGAAGAAAAAGGTGACCCGCAGGATGCGTATTTCTTCCCCGCACAGACTGTGTGGCAAAGGGCCTGAGGAATTTCCCCCCCTGCGTATATCACGTTGCATCCAAAGCAGTGTGACGTGTTACCTTAGCAACTATGGCTATCATAAACTGTAGCCTTCCCTTCCCTTTGCAGCTAATAAGGTACAAGATTTTTAAGCAAAACAGTATTCTCTTCTGTAAAAAAAAAAAAAAAAGACTGTAATGTATTGATAATATTTGTACCTATTCTATATTTATGTCTTGACAAAATGACGACTGGTACTAACTTGTGATTCGTATAACGGGGGTATTTCAAGCTCATGTGGAGGTTACTAAAGCCGCATTCTCTCAACTGATACATTCCACATGACATTTGGTAGATCAGAACACTCTTCCAAAGCACCCTTGCCATGCCATTGGTACAATCGCCACACAAAGCAACAATAGCAGTGGGTATTCTGTGGCATGGCTAAAACACTAATATATGTGAACGTGGATTCGCACAGCCTGCCCACATGCCGGTTATCACATGATGGGCTTATTGTATGCCAAGCTTTGCTCCACCATGGGAGTGCTAAATCTGAGGCACTCTTACTTGCTTCCACAGCTGCCAGCTCCCCAATGCGTTCCACCAGGCAACTGGACAAAAATCCAGCTGTCAGCATTTAAGGGAGAAAATTAACATATCCTTCCTGCATCGTGATGATGCGGGATGCTGCAGCTGTGGACGTCCTCTTCCCCTATCTCACTACTTAGCTGCCTAACAACCTCTGTCTGTCAACTAGCCTTAACAGTACTCAGCTTCTCAAGAGCCCTTCTTAAAGGGGATAGATGACATGGTGCCCTTTGGGTGTTGCTGGACTTGAGGCACAGGGAGAAATTGGATTTGACTCACATTTAAAGGCCAATCTACAAAATTCACACTTTCCGAGAAAATATGTGAACCCAAACACAACTGTTCTTTAAAAATTCACTCATCTCCAAATTTTGCGACAGAAGTAAGATGTACGAAAATGCATATAATAGGGTAAAGTGTATATTTTTTTAAAAAAAAATGTATTGTTGAAAATAATGTTTGGGGGAATGGCATTGCAAAAATATGTATATTAAGCAGAACTGAGTACAAAAATGTGCCTGTTTGGAAAAAGTAACACTAAAAGGCTGGTGAATTCTCATGAGGATTTCTTAAAAGATAATACCAACTGCTGCAGAAATTCAAGATTGGAAAAATGAGAAACGAAACCGACAGAGCCATCCATTCCCAGTTAGCCACAACTCCTATCATCCCTGACCATTAGCTTTTCTGGCAAGGGCTCATGGGAGTTGTAGTCCAAAAACTTCTGGAGGGCACCATGTTGACTCCCCATGAGCTAGCCAAACTGAGGCTCCTACTTACCCATTAAAATTACCCTCAGTGTGCTGTTGCATGAAGAGGGTCCCTTATAAATTGTTGTGCTTGGACACGATTTTCTTGTTTAAAGCTCCATGGAACGTCCAAGAGGAGCAATTGCATCAAACTGCCCATCATATGGGACTTTCACTCATCCCATTTCTTAAAAAAGCAGGGTTGTGGGAATCCACTCTCAATGAACTGAGAGCACAGAGGTTTCAGAGTCACTCTTTCCCTTTGTCAAATTTTCCCGTACGACCAATCATGAATTCCCCTTAGATGGTAACCAAAACAAAGCAAAAGTAGTCATGGAGGTTGCTTTATAAACAACCTGTCAGGGAGAATATGGCTTTAATAAAGTTCTGGTTGAAAGTACAGCTGTTTGCTGTTCCTCCAGTTTGCCATTGTGTTGGCTCTGTAAGTAGTGCTGAGGGGAAAGTCGGGCGACTTTCATGCATTCCAGAGTAGTCTATTTTTCTGTTCCGATAAAAAAAAAATGGGGTGGGGGTGGGGAATGATATATAAATATATGACTGTATTTTTAGCAAATTTATAATAGGGCAATCAAGTCAAAATTCTTCTTTTGTATTACAGAATAATATATTAGAGTCTCTATTGTCAACAATTTCCATAGTTGACCTTCTTATTTCATTTTGCGTGTGTGTCCGTTCTAAAGGAATGTTACAGTATTTTCCCACTGAACTGTGATGACTGCAAAAAAAGGTCGCGGAGTCCAACGTTGTCGTGTTTTGATATTCTCCTTAATCTGTCAGATGTTTCAAAAGTGCAAATGGGAGTTAACGTGAAGATTTCCTCCTTCTGTGGGAGTGTGTGTATGTTTGCGCGTGCCAGTCAGAATGGCTCAGACTCTGATCTAAGTGGAACGCAGACATGTAATCCGTTAACTTCATACTTTGACCTCCGTGAGGTCCCTTCCAGATGTACATCAGTTATAATAAGATTAAAACCAATCAGAGTGCATGGATTATGTAATGGGCTCAATCCTTTGGCCAGGATAAGTGGCCAGTTGAGAAGATCTTATCCACCGCATGTTTTGTGTGCAAAAAAAGTGGGTGATCCAAGAGTCCAGACCACCCTTTCCCAGCCTGGTGCTATCCAGATGTTCCCATCAGCGCCAGCCAACGCAGGCGGGAGCTGAAATCTAGAGGGCACTAAGGTTGAGGAAGCCTGGTCCAGATAATTCAGAATTCCCCTCCCCTTGAGATCAGGAACTGGTGCTGGTGTGGTTAGGAAAGAGCACTCTGCACACCTTCAGAAGCACAGCATTTACCAGGCAGTGTGAAACCATAATTAAAACACAGTCCCAGCAAAGACAAGATACACAGAAACAAAAAGGCTTCCCTCACAGCCGGGCATAAGCTTATCTGTGTCAGCTTCACAGCACCACACATCCTCCCAGGAAGTATAAACCTGCCTGCTAGCCTCCAGTGCGATTCCTCCTGCAGAGACCAGTGGGAAAGACGCTTGCCAACTTTTGAGTGGAAGCTGCGCTCTGGGGCCTGTAACAGCTGCCTGGCACTCGGAAATTTAGCAAGTGGCGTCTTCTCGATTGCTTCATCTCCGTGCCGAATAAAAAAGAAAGAAAGCTGTTGAAGGCACAGGAGGCAACGGAGCCCGTGTGGTGTAATGGTTAGAGTGCCTGGGAGACTAGAGTTCGAATCCCCACTCAATAAATAAGTGGCAGGCACAGGAAACAGGGAAGTAGCTTCCACTTAATGCAAAGACAGACTTTGGTTTAAGGGAAGGGGTTTTGCAGAGGGGAAAGAGCAGGCATGGATGCTTCAGTCACCTGCTCCCTGCACTTCTGCGCTGCAGGCTTCAGTATTTCCTCCTTTTCAAATGTAATCTTACATCAAGCAAAAGGGCTGTAGCGCTTTGCATGCAAAAGGTCCCAGTTTCAATCATCATGTAGGGCTGCAGAGGGATGGCACTCTGTCTAAAACCCTAGAGAGTCACTGCTGTTAGTGTAGAGTCCACAAACAATACTAAGCTAGATGGACATGATAAAAGGCAGCTTCCCACATCCCTTATCACCACACTTACTAGGTAATGAGACCAAGAGCCCTGCCTTCATTTGCATCTGGTTACTCTATTCCTTGCATAGACTAGAGGGATTTGCCCAAGTATAAACTGAGCAAAGAATCCACAATTTGTTCCAATTAGGATCTGACATTGCTTAGATGTGCTGGGATATGTAATCAAGCAGCTGCTGTAGGCCAGGAATAGCTAGCATGGCATCCGCCAGCTGTTGTGGACTACAGCTCCCATCATCCCTCACCACTGGCCATACTGGCTGGCACTGATGTGAATTGGTGCCCCAAACGCCTGGAGGCTACCACTTTGGTTACCTCTGTTATATATACATATAGCATGTGGCCAGATTTGTTTGTTTGTTTTTTCTGTTCCTTTATAATAAAGAGCTGATTCCATTGCATCAACAGAATCACACGGTGTGGAAATTTATTATATAGGCCTCCAGCTCTGACAAGCAAAGGCTCCGACATGCTCTAACATGAAACCATGTGTTATATGGAACTTTCATAAAAGTAATTGAATAATGGGAAGAGCTGGTGCCAGATATCTAGCAGTCTGAAGAAATAGCCAATGGTTAGATAGATGATAGATAGATGATAGATAGATAGATAGATAGATAGATAGATAGATAGATAGATAGATAGATGATAGATATAGATGATAGATAGATGATAGATAGATAGATAGATATAGATAGATTTGCAGTATATGCAACAAGATGTGAACCTGTGACTGCCTTGTGCTGCAAAATACCATTTTACCACATTAAGCCTTTAATAGTTCAAATGGACATGTTTGTCCCAAATGTCAGCTGGTCCTCTGATTATCCAGTTTAGGAACCTTTTACGCAGGTACAAGTAGTGAAATGCATTCATTAGGATGGGCAGGATGTATGTATACTACATCTCCCATCATCCCTGATTAGTAGCCATGCTGGCTATGAGAAACTGGGAGAAACCAAAATCGGTATATTCTCCCAGCCCTAAAGGCCTGGATATTCTTCTGTAAATTGCACAACCCACAGAAGTTCCAGCTGGTGGAAGTGAGGCCATCTAGTGGGCTGGTAGGTGGGTTTTGCCCTGGCTGTAATGGGGTCCCCATCTTAAGTGATTTATTTCCTGTCCCAAAGAGAAGCCAACGGCATTCCGCTATGTGGGAGAAAGCAAAGAGCTATGCAACATGGACTCATTGGGTATGTAATTTCAATCCCAGGCATCTCCAGCTAAAAGGGGCCGTGTAGCAGGTGATGGGATAGACTTTTCTGCCAGAGGTCCTGGGGAGCCAGTGCCAGACAGAAAAAGCCACACTAGATGGACAAATAGCTTTATCTGGTATAAGCAGTAGTGCACAGAATGGTGCTATCCTGACTTCCTGACAGGTGAGTCACTGCTGCTTACCAGGAGGGAGAAGGGCAAGCTAGCAAGGTTGGTGCAGTGCAAATGCACCAGCAGAGTCAATCCACTGTTGCTGCCACTGTGCTTGCACTACACCACCACTTTGCCCCTCTCCTTGCCAGTAAGCAGCAGTAATTCACCTATCAGGAGGTCTGCCCCACCATGCTGGCTGCTACTGGGTCTAAGGCACCTTCCTGTGCTCCTCTAAAAAAGCACTGCGCACTCACTCACACACACAGGTTCTCTGCAGAAATTACAAAGCTGCAACTGGCGAGTTTAAGGATCTGCTACAAACATCCCCATGCTGAAACCAAGAAAAAATAGTTCAAGAGTTGTTGGCCAGCCCTCTTCTAAGGCAAAGAACTTAATAGAAGAGCACTGTTTTACCTTAGGCTAAAATGCTTGTGCCACATAGCCCTACAGCTAATGGAAAGCTACACCTTTGGTATGGCCTTTGGACACTGTCCAACTTTGGAAACTTGGCTGCTGGAGAAACAGAAGAGATTATACTAGGGGTGAACCTGAGTTTTAAAAAGTGCTCATTTACTACAAATGCAGGGAAGTTAAGAACATGTGTTGTTCTTCATTCTAGTCCACAACAGCTCCAGGAGCAGGCAACATGGTGGAGTGGAGTGACCTCCCTGCTGCTTACCAGGAGGGTGAGGGGTAAGGCAGTGGGGAGGGTGGTGCAGTGCTAATGCACTGGCAGGAACATCAAATTGGTTCTGTTGATATGTTTGCACTGCAACAACCTTGCCACTGCATCACCTTTTCTGCTCCCCAGTAAGCAGCAATGGAAGGTCATTTATGCACCTCTGCTTCCCCACTCAATCCAGTACTCCACAGCTAATAGGGGGCATTCCTTATTCCAGAACACAGTAGCCTTCCCCAAATTGTACAGAAAAGAAGCCAGATCTCCACAGAAGCCAAAAGTCGGGTACAGCACAATCTTACACCTGCCTACTCTGAGGTATCTCTCTTTCGAGTTCAATGGGGATTACACTTAGTAAAGTGATATGGGAGTCTAGCTATGACCCCCATATACTCTGCTCTAAGCTCCCTGGAGAAAGAATAGGATACAAAGGCAATAAGTACACAATAAAGGCCTATTTCCATTTCATCGGCATCCAGTTTTGAAACAGACCTGCCTTTGTCCAAGAGAGGAAATTTAGATCAAGTGAAAAACAGCTTTTCTTGAATCAGCTGTTGGGGGGGGAATGTTTTCAATTATTGATTGATCCACTGACACTCTCATCTCACTCTTATTTCTTGGATACCAGTGTGTCCCTTCCTCTACCCTCTCCTCTCAATTTTAAAATATAGTAACAAAATGGAGGGGGGCTATAAATAAATAAGTTATAAAGTGAATAGTCTGTTTGGTTAGAGCAGGCGTTGGGAACCTTTGACCTTCCAGGTGACGTTGGAGTCCAGCTCCCCTCAGCACCAGCCAGCATGGCCAATAGCAGCAATGATGGGTGTTGTAGTTCAGTAACATCTGAAGGATCCCCCTGCCATTCCTGCCGAGTCAGGGTTTTTCTCTAATTAAAAGGTGCATGTTCTTCTCAGCATTAAGCAGGAAATCCCCAAAACTGGGCTTCCAGAGGCAAGAATCTAAGCTACTGCTTTCTGACCTGATGTTCATTGTTGAATCAAATGCTCCTGATCAAACTTCCACATCAACTCTTATTTTATTTTATTTAATATATTTCTAGGCCTCCCTTCAGCCACAGTTCCCAAGGTGGAACTCAGGGCTCACCCACAATTATTTTTTGCCCTGCACTTTTTGGGCAGAGATCTTTGCTTTAAAACTCCATGTCTGAGCACCGTTGTTTTTTTCCTCCAGAGCTTTCCCCATGAAAACCCGCTCTTTAAAGCTCAGTCAACACAAACAGGAGTCTGTGAGTCAACCGTTGAATGTTCACGCACAATACACACACATCTGTGAACAGGCCTTCAGACAGTCCTTCCCAACTGGGATTTAAGTTTCTGCCTTGTGGTCCTGAGTCATTGAACAGTATTTTAGTTCTGGTTATTTTCCTTGCATGCTTCCTCTTCTTCCCCTCATTTCTTGTCCCCACCTCCTTTGCTTCAGAAATACTTGTCTCAATGTGACATTCTTAGCCACTGAGGCCAGATAGCCAGTGTTTTTGGCCACAGAGAGCTGCATTTTAAAAAAAAATAATATTTCTATTACGCCAGGAAACTTGTTAGGAGTCTTTGCCTGTTTATTTTTGTGTATCTACAGAGTTGCTTCTCACCTTCTCTTTGCCCTGTCTTCTGTGAACTTTTCAGCTATGGAAACACAGCCGCAACATCAAAAGAACTATTGCCCCCCCCAAAAAAAATGAGCAACTAACTTTTCCCCAGATTAAATAATTACTACAACAAAAGTCCTCCTTGATCGTTAATCCTGTAAATACATCCTTCAAAGTGACGCACTACTAGTATTTCCCTCTGTGGAGTAATGGGTCATTGTGTCTGGCTGTTAACCAGAAGGTTGGTGGTTCGAGCCCACCCAGGGATGGCTGTGGGTAGGATTCCTGCATTGCAGGGGTTGGACTAGATGTCCCTTGGGGTACCTTTCAGTGCTACAATTTTATGATTCTGGTACATCTCTGCGTAGGAGAAGGGTACAGGCAACAGCACGACATTCATTGTATGCAGAAGAGCCAAGGCTCTTGGCATTTCAGGGAGGGCTAGGAAAGACCCCAGAGAACTGCTGTCAGTTCACATAAACAATACAGAACAAGATAGACCACTGCTGGATTCAGTAAAAGGCAGGCTCCTTTGCTCCTAGAGTTGCACAGGCATACTGCAGTGAGTGCATTCGGTACAGCAGAATGAAAATAATTCAACGTAGCCTGCTTGGGAAGCACAGGCCTCTGCTATTTCAGGTACCTGAAGCAGCTTTTATTTAGGATGGGACTGCTAGCCAAGACCATGGTGGAATCTACACACATAAAAATGTTCTAAAATGCTTTTTTTTAAAGCATTTTTAAAAAATACATTGAATTTTCCATAAGGCTCACCATTGCCATCTAGAGTCACATTGTATATTACACTTAAAACGTTTTATTTGCAGCTGTATAGCTGAGTCCCATGTAAGCAGAGCTCCCTGAAGAGAATGACTGGCAAGGCGACATGAGCCTAGAAAAGCCATAGAATAGCAAGACTTTTTGGTGAACCTGGCTGGCAGCGTGCTTCACTCTCACTTGCAATATCCACCCATGCAATGCAGTCTTACTTGAGCACCGGCTACTTCTGAGGCATCAAGGGATCTCAAAGGCAGAAATGTTGGAATCGCTTGCACAGCGGGTCCAGAGTGGCCTTGTTGCTGTTAAGGTCCTCGCTCACCACCCCATTCTTGCTTTCAGTGGTGTGTTTCATTAGGTCTCTCTCCCCTGCCTGCCATGTTAGGGCAGAGTCAACAGGCCCCAAATGGCATCACTAGAAGCAGCCAAATGGCTGGCATCGTTGTGCAATTTTCACACTCTTTTAGAGACTGCGGGTGTGGTTGTGACAAGCGTAGCTGAGCGGATGGTTTGTTTAAAGGGACAGGGGTTTTAAAAAGCAGCCTTCAGAACAGAATTATAATGGGAAACTGCATCATGCGATTATAGATTTTAAGGGGATTAAAAGGGGGAAAGGGGGGGGATTTAAAAAAAGAAAAGGGATCTTTACCTTGTAGAATGTACACTCTAGCTCATTGCAGAAAGCAACAAATCAAACCCAGGAGCTGGATTTGTGCATCAGCTGATATACAACAGCAACTGGTCTGCTAAATTGTATATGGATTCTTTGCATTCATGGCCCATACTCTCAAGACTCAATGCATCAAGACATTTCACCATTTGAGCATTAACAATCCCCATATGTTTGGGAGGAACAAGGATTCCATTAGCCATAAACTAGTGCACTTAAGAGTCTTACTTTTTTAAATATTTATTTTTGGTAACTTTAATTTAATCCTTACTTGTTGAAGTTTATTGACCTCTCCAATTGTTTCTGTAAAAGAAAAGAAAAAGACTTTTAAACGTGTCTTTATATGCATGTGGTGGTATGAAACTGTGATCATTGTGTGACATTCAAAAACTGTACTGTCTTGTAAAAATACGTCCAAATGTCTACAGATTTTAAAAGCAATGGACCCTTCCTCCAGATTGTAGAAATAAATAAAAAGGTATTGTTAAAACTGAGCAGTGAATGTTTAGTATGTGCACTTATTTCCATTTAGATTTAACTATTTCTATAGTAACTTGCCGTGATGGCTCAGAGCTGGTAATAAGAGTCATCGAAAATGGCTTTTTGTACCCAATGCTTGAAGTGTATAAAATGAGACTAAAAGAACAGGCAAATAGCACCTGCTTATGAGAGGGGGGGGGGTACTTTAATTCATGTGAGTGATTGTCAGTTGAAATTCGTGAGCACTCAAGTGGGCTCAGCCATTTCCTACAATGCAGGATGTGATTTTGTGCATGACGAACAATGCAGGGGGAATAAATGCTTTAGAGCCAAACTACATGTTATGATAAATAGGGTTTTGTAAATAAAAAATAAAAAAGTGTTTAAGCTTAACACTTTTATTTTCATAAAAAGGAGCCACGGGGCCAAGAATGGACTATGAGTGCATGGCAGTTTTCTTCCAAAACTCTCCCTAGTTCTTATTTGTCCACAAAGATGTGAGCAAATTACAGCCACACGGAGGAATTTTCAGCAAGAAGCCGATTAACGCCCCAGTCCATACAGAATAGGACAACAGAATTGTAGAATTGGAAGGGGAACATGAGAGTCATCTAGTCCAACTCCCTGCAATGAAGGGATCGCTTTGCCCACCATGGCAAAACGCTGCTTTTTCTTTGGAATAAAACTGATTATGTTAATCAAACTTTTTAAACTACATATGACAAAATATGCAGGAGGCAGAGGCCAGATGAGGCAACAGCTTACCACATCTGGGGTGACAAAAAGGCAAGCCTACCTAGTTCATAAAGGTAAAGGTACCCCTAACAGTTAAGCCCATTCGCAGACGACTCTGAGGTTGCAGCGCTCATCTAGCTCTATAGGCCGAGGGAGCCAGCATACAGCTTCCGGGTCATGTGGCCAGCATGACTAAGCCGCTTCTGGCGAAACAGAGCAGCGCGCGGAAACGCCGTTTACCTTCCCGCCGGAGTGGTACCTATTTATCTACTTACACTTGACGTGCTTTCGAACTCCTAGGTGGGCAGGAGCTGGGACTGAACAACAGGAGCTCACCCCCATCGCGGGGATTCGAACCACCGACCTTCTGATCAGCAAGCCCTAGGCTCAGTAGTTTATACCACAGTGCCACCCGCGTCCCTTACCTAATTCATACTTTCCAAAATTATACACAAACTGAACTCGACCACCCTTCAAAATACAAACATCTCTGAATTTGGCAGTGTAGTTCCCCAAACAAGTAATCTGCACAAATATAGCAAAGTGAGTCTAAAGGAGAGCCAGCACACCCCGTTTCGCCGCTTGAGGCAACACAGGAAATGCCACCCTGGCCCCCCACCTCCACCAGTTGTGGAGAAGCAATACCAACATTGGTACCCATTTCTGGCAAGATCTCATGAGATTTCTCTCGTGCTCTGTGAGATCTCACAAGGTTTTGGCAAGATATAGGCACTGATGCGGTACTCCTTCTCTGCCACCAGCAGAAGTAGCGGGTGGGGCATCCACAATGGCACCGCCTCAAGGGTTTCTGCTGCCTGAGGCAGCTGCTTCAAACTGCCTCCTGGGTGGACTGAGCCAGGTCTATAAAGATGCATATAATCATCATGGAAATAGCACACAAAACTGTATTATATATAAGGAAATTTCATTTTCAAAAAAACTGAGTATTAATAATGTTAATAATAATAATTTTATTATTTATACCCTGCCCATCTGGCTGGGTTTCCCAATTAGACAAAGTTACCGTATTTTTTGCTCTATAAGACTCACTTTTCCCCTTCTAAAAAGTAAGGGGAAATGTGTGTGCGTCTTATGGAGCGAATACAGGCTGCTCAGCTATCCCAGAAGCCAGAACAGCAAGAGGGATCGCTGCTTTCACTGCGCAGCGATCCCTCTTGCTGTTCTGGCTTCTGGGATTCAGAATATTTTTTTTCTTGTTTTACTCCTCCAAAAACTAGGTGCGCCTTGTGGTCTGGTGCGTCTTATAGAGCGAAAAATACGGTACATACAAAAAGGGGCATATTTGGGGGGAAATGCACTAAAATGATTGTGAATTTTCAGGAGGACTATTTAATCTCTCTCTCTCACACACACACACACATACACACACACACACCATGTGAGAAAGCAAAAAATTCAGATTCTCCCAATCCCTAGAGCCAGCGCAAGTCCCCAGCAGTGGGCTGAATGTGAAGTCACCATTAAGCACTGAGTGTATTATTAAAATCCTTCCTCGTTGGATCTTCAGGCCTCCTTGCTGAATATCTCATTCAGATTTTCCTGCAGGCTGTAGGAACATCTCAACAAGGGGTGGGGGATCATTATAGACCTCGCTAGGCAGACATTAAAGCATCCGATTGAAATTGCATGCTTCTCTAGTTTTCATTATTTGCTCCAGCTTGATTTTAAAATGAATCAGGACTCCTTTGCTCACTTTTTTATTATTTCTAGCCGGAATTATTCTAATGCTCCGGAGCTTTCAAAGAAATCATTTCAGAATGTGAAGTGGTTACCAAAGAAATACTAACTTTACCCAATCAACTTGCATGCCACCATTATTTTAAGATGCGGTGATAGCCTCGTGGGCCAAACTGAAGCCCCTGCTAAGGTAGAACTGCCGTGATCAAAGTGATAACTAAGCAGCCTCTGTGCTCTTACCTAGATTGATCTGCAGTCTCGAAACTGGGTGAGAGTGTGGCCTGGGGCTTCAGTCTGAATGTTTAAAACTGCTGTTGGGTCCGGGTTGCAGCTCACTGTCCTGCGGGCACACAAATAGAGTTTAACTTGAGTTTTCCTCCCTCCGATGACTTCTCTCTCTACAGATAGTTAGCTTCCTGGAGGGCAATGTTGCAGATCCCGTCTCCAGACGGCAGCTTCATTGCTGCCTACCTGGATGGTGTGGGGAAAGGGAAAGATGGTGGACAACTTGGGGCTGTGTGCACACACCACCAGTGAGAGGCCTGGACTGGCTATGCCAGACTGCCTGCGTAGTCCTGACCTTGCCATTGCCTCTCTGCCTGCACCATCAAGGTAAGAGGGGCAGCTCCATTAGGCCAGCTGCTCCTGATTTGCTTCACTTTGGCCACTGGCTCTTGAGAATGGATGCCAGCTCACCAAACAGGGGCAGTTCAACATGTTTT